CAATATCGGAGTTTCCGTCAGAATTCTCTTTAAAGCTTCGAAACTTTCTTGACATTCCGAAGTCCAAACAAATGATACGTTCTTTCTCATTAGCTTTGTTAGAGGCAGCACAATCATCGAAAAATTCTTAAAGAATCTTCGATAGTAACCAGCAAGTCCAAGAAAACTCCGAACTTCAGACACATTCTTAGGAACTTCCCAATCCATTATAGCTTTAACCTTCTGAGGGTCTACTCTAATCCCAACTGCCGAGATCACATTCCCCAAGAAAATTACTTCGTCTAGCCAAAATTCACATTTAGACAATTTCGCATAGAGATTTTTATCCCTGAGAATTTGCAAAACTAGCCTCAAATGTGTGCTGTGCTCTTCATGGGATTTCGAGTACACCAGTATGTCATCAATAAAGACAACAACAAACTGGTCCAAGTAGGGCTGAAAAATCCTGTTCATGAGATCCATGAAAGCAGCAGGTGCATTCGTTACTCCGAATGGCATTACGATGAATTCATAATGACCATATCTCGTTCTGAAAGCTGTCTTCGGAATATCTTTCTCCTGGATCTTCAATTGATGATAACCCGAACGTAGATCGATCTTCGAAAATACCGAAGCTCCTTTTAGTTGATCAAACAAGTCATCAATGCGCGGAAGGGGATACTTGTTCTTGATGGTCACCTTATTAAGCTGTCGATAATCAATACAGAGACGCATTGATCCATCCTTCTTCTTAACAAATAACACCGGAGCTCCCCAAGGCGATACACTTGGTCGGATAAATCCCTTCTCTAGCAACTCTTGTAATTGATTCTTTAACTCTTGCAATTCTTTTGGAGCCATTCTATAAGGTGCCATTGCAATTGGAGCGGTTCCTGACATTACTTCAATTTGAAATTCTACCTCTCTATCCGGAGGTAATCCTAGCAATTCAGCAGGAAAAACATCAGGGAACTCTCGAACTATTGGAATTTCCTCTAACCTTTTCTCTTGAGCTCTTGAATCAATCACATTTGCAAGAAAACCCTGACATCCTTGTAGCAATAATTTCTTGGCAGACATCATTGATATTACATTTGCTAAAAGATTACACATTTCACTGATCACATTAACTTCTATTCTTTCTGAACTCTTCAGGGTTATCTTTTTCAATCTACAGTCTACATTCCCATAATAATGAAACAACAATCCATTCCCAGAATCACTTCAAACTCGTCAAAGGGTAATTCTATCAGATTAGCAGGGAATTCAATTCCCTGAACCTTTATGGGACACCCCTTACAGACTTTGTCCACCTGAGTACTATGCCCTAACGGATTAGTTACTATCATCACATTACTCGTAGCTTCTATAGGAATCCTCAACTCCTTTACTAACTTACTTGTAATATAAGAATAATTATAACCCGGATCAATCAGCACCAATACTAATTTATCATACAACTGAAAAGTACCTGCTATAATATCAGGGTCATCACGGTCTTCACTTGTCTTTAGATTGTATACTCGAGCAGTGGATCGAACTTCAGGTTGAGCAGAGAATTCAGACGGGTTCCTTCCTCTGCCTCTTCCTCGTCCTCTTTGTGAGGAAGAACCAACTCTTCCATATGGTGCAGGCTTACCAACAATCAAGGGACAATCCCGGATAAAATGTCCGGCATCTCCGCATCGAAAACAAGTCCCAGCAGCCATACGACAAGCTCCATAATGGTTTTTCCCACAGTGCTGACACTGTCTCCCTTGACTCGGAGTAGATCTCCCAACACCAGATTCCACTGACTGCGTCTGTCTAGGTCTTGCCTGACTTGCTCCCCTAGCAGACGATGCAACTGATTCTGATCTAGTTTGTGATCGAAATCCTGAGTCTCTTCCCCTTTTTGTTGGTACTGAGCTAGAAGAAGTAGTCGTCCTCTTTGATGTCTGAACTCTTGAGTCCCCAAATCGTTCATTCTGAGCCCTTTCAAGAGCTTTTGCACGATTGATCACCTCCTAGAACGAGGACAAGTTTAATACTATCAACATTTCTTTAAGTCTAGGGCGCAAGCCCTCCACGAACCATTCGCAAGCATCTTTTTCAGTAGGCACAAGCTCAGCTGCAAACCTGCTCAGCTTATTAAACTCACATTCGTACTCATACACAGAGCGGCTCATCTGCTTCAAATTCATAAACTCCTGCTTCATTTGTCGGATAAACTGATCTCCAATATACTTGTTTTTAAATTCTTCTAAAAACAAAGACCAAGTCAACTAATCGGTTGACATCCTCATGGTGACGTTCGTCCACCATATCCTCGCCTGACCCCTCAATAAAGATACAGCTCCATCTAATTTCTCCACTTCGGAACAGTGGAGACCATCTAACATGATTTTCAAATCATTCAACCAAAGATCCGCTGACACTGGACCTTCCTCAGCTTCTCCCTTAAATTCGGAAGCTCCTAAACCTCTCAACTCTTTTGCTACATTAATTCTTTGAGTTAGTGGAGCAGAAGGTTGAAGACGCGTCAGAATAGCGTCTAACGTTCTGAAGAACGTATCTTGATCTTGCACAGGCACTCCTTGAGATGCCTGTTCTTCACCTTGCCTGGCCAGGGCAGGTGAATTACTGCTTTCAGCATGCCTATCTTCTCCCGCTTCACTTCGGGAGCTATTATGTCCGGACATCTAATAAGAATAAACACATTGTTCTATTAGCAAAACAACATACTCATACTATACCAGATCAGAAGTTCTCACTATTTGTTGGCATGTATTCCATTTAAAGACTCTATAGACTCTGGTTCATGCCTAGAATCGGCTAAACCATAGCTCTGATACCATTAAATGTAACACCCCCAACCCGTACCCGACCCGGATATGAGTCAGAGATACTACATTGACTTTAAAACACAACTCTTAACAAATAATAGTAAAATATTTGAACTTATATTAAGAAAATACGATAATATACATATTGTAATATAAGTTTACTAAAATATTCAGAGCATACACAACTTAACCCTTTAATTACATGCCAACTGCCATTTACATAACAAAATGACCTACTGATTAAGTTGCTTCTGATCTGGTGGTTGCAGGAGTAATGCTGTCAAGCTGCTTCACCTGTCTCGTCTATTTTCTCGGATCCTACGTGTGAAACACTCACACGCTAAGTCATCGACTTAGTGAGGCAATAATAATAACAAGGCGATGTAATGAAAATGTCATGATCATATGAGATGAGATGCAAACATGTACTTAATCAATGTAGTATACATCATCAATATCCATACCTGTAAGCGTATGACTGTAACATTCATGAATCTGTATTAATAAGTTTATTGGCCCATGATAGCATATTGAGAACCTAAGGTATCTGAGTAATGTGAGGTTGTGCACTATGCTGTCACCACAGCTCGTATAATTGCACCGAAATGCCGCGTAGAATTGCACCGTAGTGCCATATAATGATGTCCATAAGGACCACATATAATTCCTTAAGAATCATATACATATACTAGGGATCAAGTATGTGTCTTTCCAAGACTTCACACATGTTCCACAGAATATATATATATCCCGAAGGACCGCGTAGAATTGCACCGTAGTGCCATATAATGATGTCCATAAGGACCACATAGAATTCCTTAAGAATCATATACATATACTAAGGATCAAGTATGTGTCTTTCAAGACCTCACACATGTTCCAAAGAATATACATATGTCCCGAAGGACCGCGTAGACCCTCTACCCTTGGCATGCCAACTATACCTATAATTCTCATCTACATAACATGGGCTTTTACATTTCACGTAGTCTATATCGCGTAGACATGTAAATTCTTACCTTTTCACATAGCTCATAACTTTTCCCACATATTCATGTCATATAATGCATTTTATATGAACTCATGTCATGTCTCATAATACAGAATATGCTCATGTACCAAGATATAAAATCTAGACTTATCACAAGTCTAAAATGGAGTATATTTCTATAATTATGCTATGCATATGCACTCACCTATATTTCTTTGCCTTTTCCTCGATCGATCCTACTTGTAGATTGTTCCCGAACTCGTGTAGGCTCGGTATCTACATAAACATAATTTTCAAGATGCTCATCAGATGTCTATGTCTTGAAATTAAGCTTTAATAGCTTACTAATTTAAGGAATTAATAGCTTAGTCTTTCTTTCTTTTCTTTTCTTTTTCTCATGGGGGAATCGGTTCCCCCCCTGGGGGTATCGATTCCCCTCTAGCATTCTGGAAATTCATATTCGTTGAGGGGGTATCGGTTCCCCTTGAATGGGTACCGATTCCCCTAGCCCAAAAATCCTATTTTGAGCTCGAAAATCATCTCCTTTCAGCTCAAATATACATATTTCACTCCCTTTAATACTCTTAGCTTTCATACACTTACTTAAACTAATTATTATCCATTCAATACCTCTAAAACTAAAAAAAACTACTCATCCATATAGAATTGAAGAATCTTACTCCAATTCCAACTTGTTCTAATTTCAATTCTATTACCTCATACTTCTTAATTAACTTATTGACAAGTCAAAAATCTTATTCAAACTTCAAAAACTCATCCATATCAAAATTTCATCTAAAAACTCATTTTCCAAATCTATCTCTAAAACACTTATCTTGTTGTCTTAATATCATATAAGCTTTCCTTTAGCTTATATAACATCCAAACTTTCATTTCCAATCTTAAAAATCAAAGAAACTACCAAGGTTCAGATTCTTACCTTTACTTGCAAGCTCCACGTTTGGAGAAGGAAGAGAAGAAGATAAGAAAGAAGGAAGAAGAAATGAGAGGATTCTGGAATACTAATGCCCCACGTGGGTTCTAATATAACCCCATAACATTTTTTTAATTATAATTTTTCCTTACAAATGACCATTTGGTCCTTACATTCATTTCATATTTACTAACCATTCTTTTTAAACTATATAATTATTCTACTTTAATCACCAACTGTTGAAACTTTGCAAATTAATCACTAACCCGGCATGGAGGATGTTACATTTCTTCCGAATTTCAAGAAGTAAGATATATATTTTTTTCATTTTCATGTTTTAACATCTTAATCTATTTTCATGCATTGTTGTGTTAGATGTTTATTTAACCATCTAACAATATTTCCAGGAAAAATGTTCAAACAAAGAAGGTTAAGAGTAAAGAGAAGAAGCCATATACACCATTCCCTCCTCCTCAACAACCTAGCAAGGTAAGACAGTGGATCGTCTCTTAGGGTTTTTCACGGTTAACATGACTGTTTTTTGTCTCATTAATTTGACTAGATGTTTCCTATTTTTTTACAATGATGTTGTCCACAATTTTGTTCTCTGGTATAAGATTTCATTTTTAGCGTGTGTTTGTTTTAGATAAGATAATTGTAGTTTTATGTAGTATAGTCTTGTGTGGCTTAGCTGAATATATTTGCTTTAAGAAATGGACTGCAAAATCTTAATTTTTGAGCCAAATGTTCAAGTGGCTGATGGGGAGAATTTCGAAAGAAATTTTGTACAAACTTCGGGTTTTGATTTAGCTTTGCTGTTTCTAAGTAATTATTTTCTCCTCTGCTCTTCCATTCTGAATAGAGAAGGGAATTAAGCTATTCTTTCACTTGTGCCTAACTTTTTTATACGTTCGTCTTTGTATTTGGAGCATTATATCTCTGTATCTGTGTTTGATTATGTCGGATACGGTCTTGGACGTGTTCCAGAAAAATAAAGAGTTGATTTTTGGAAAACAAACTTACATTGGTACATGGTTATATGTTCCAGATTGATCAAGAACTCGAATCCGGTGAATACTTCTTGAGTGAGAAAAAGAAATTAGCAAAGAAATGGCAAGAGAAGCAGGCAGAGAAAGCAGCTGAAAACAAAAGAAAAAGACAAGCATCATTTGTTCCTCCCAAGATTCTATTTTCGAACCCTATAGCGGCTCACACAAACACCGTCTCCAACCATTTTCATCACACTTATTTGTTTCTACAATAACATAATTTCCGTGTTGCAGGAAACCACAAACCAAGATTCGAAAGATTCCGATAACAAGGAAGATGTCACTGCCCTCGTTATGTCGTTGAAGGTAAGTTTAATCATAAGATGTATTTCTTTTCAAAGATACTTGTCCTACAATCAGGCATATATCTAAACACTGGTTCCCTCTGCAGCAAAAGGCCAAGGAGTTTGGAAAGAAAATATCGCTGCAGAATATTAATGCCGAGAAATATATTTCGGTCCCTGCTGCCGAACCACCTTCGAAAAAGAAAAAGAAACCCAAGCATACCTAGTAAAGGTGAAGTATAAATTTTAGTCTAGACAAGTTCATGGCATCGATCATATGACTCGACATTATATCGGAGTTTTCGGCTTCGAATCATTAAAACTGTTTTCCTGTAGAGTTTTTGTGGTCAATGTCTTAACATATTTTTGTACATTTGGATTCACATACAATCTCACTATTTCTTTTTCATCCAAGCTAACTACTAGAAGATTTGAAAAGAAAAGGAAAATGGCCTCATCAAGCTTTCGTTTACTGAGCCTTATGTTTGTGCTTGTTGGGTTTCTTTGTGGGGGGGAGTACAATGGAGTTTCGGCTCAACGCGAGACTAGTATTCCGAGCCTTGTATCCAAATGATCGGAATACGTTCGAGTCTCTGGGCCGGAAATCCCGCCATCGACAGATTGCTGTGATGTCGTAAAAAGCGTCGTTATTCCATGTATATGCAAGTTGTTTTTGTTGCTACATCATGTGGCTTGACTCTTCAACCTGTAATGAAACGTGAAAATTAATATCTATATATTTTTAAGATCATTAAATAAGAAAAATTGTGAAAATATTCATTTAAAATTATCTCTTTATTTTTGTGTGAATAATTTCTCGTTTTCTATTATTTTCTTTAGATTATTTAATTTTAAATTATGTTTGAGGAATTGAGATTATGTGTTAATAAAATTTGTGGTTATTTTCTATATTTATCAAAATAATTATGGATTGGTTTTCTTTTACAATTTCTTGAGTCTTGTAAAAAAATTTACCATCAAATGTTTGGTTTAAACATTGAGACAAGTTTATTATTTCTATATTAATTAAGATGAGAAAAAGAAATTTATTAGGATTACTCATACTCAAAATTGATTTTAATTACTGACTTTTTAGTGTTTTGTAGGATATATTATTAATAATGAATTAAAATTTCTAATTATTTTTATAAATATATACTATGGGATCTTCATTTAATTAAAAATAATAATTTCTAGTTTGATTTCTTAATCTTTTTTATTTATATTATTATAAGATCATTGCATGAATTTAGTTACATCAATTCATTCAAAGAAAAGTATACAAAATTCAAACAAATAAAATAATAAAAAGTGGGTAAACTACAGAGTTTGTCACTTTTGTTTTATTTTTTTAAACACATGGTCACTCGATCCAAAAAGATTAATACGTGATCACTTTTATTTCATTTTAATTAAGATATGATGATTGAAACGTTTACTTATGTTAGTTTGATGATGTGACATGTTAGTGAAAGAGTTTAATTTTCACTTTAACCCTTTAATTTTATATAAAATTTTTATATAAAATTTTTAATTAGGGACCATTTTATAAATTCAAAGTAATTTAAGGACAAAGTTTTAATTTACCCTTTTTGTTAATTGTTTATCTTCCCCAACCCCATCTTCTTGCACCGCACACTTCTATAGCTTCCCAACCAGATGACCTTCCACCAAGCTCCGGTCACCACCAGCAACGCTCTTAACTTTCCACCCATCAGATGAAAACATCAGATAAGGTGGTAAACTTTGTGACAAGTCCCGAATCTGGATACTCCGAAAGAATGTTTTCCACTATCACTTTTCTATTGTCCGGTAAAGCTTCGTTGCACTTTTTGAAAAGTTTCAAGCAGCTTTCGTCGTCAAAACCGTGGGCCAAGGCCATAGAGTCTCTTGAAGCCATCGTACCACCATCCTCGTTCTTGGTAAAGAATTTGCAGACGTGGCCAAGGCCATAGAGTCTCTATACTTTACGGTCGGGAAGAGTGCGCGAGGAGCAAGTGAGGACGGAGTAGCTCGACAGAACTAGAAACATGCGGTCTAGCATGAGAGGCGCATCAGGGTTGGTGGTGGGGAGCTGGGGCAGCCACTTCTTTCGTCGACAGCAAAGCATCCGGACCAGCTTTGTTGATGATCCCAAGCAGGTCGAGCTCGATAGCCGACTTGGGGGTCATGGGTAAAGCTGACGCAAGGGAGAGTTTCATAGCCATCAACATTGTTTCCTCATCGGAGCTAAGAGTGGAACAAGTGTTTTGGGTTGAAGCCATTGTTTCCTCTGCTCTCAAACTCTGAAAAATCTTTGGATATTGCAAAGAATGAAGCTAGGTGAAGAAGATAATTTATAAAAAAAAGGGTAAATTAGAACTTTATCCCTAAATTGCTTTGAATTTATAAAATGGTCCTACTAATGTGCCACGTCAGAAAATCATTAAAAGTTTAACAGCCTTTAATAGTTAAAAGTTTAACGGACTTTTAATAACCACGTTTTAATTAAAATGAAACAAAAATGACCACGTATTAATATTTTTGGATTGACTAACTATACGTTTAAAAAATAAACAAAATTGACCAACTTAGTAATTTACCCTAAAAAACATTCAGTTCTTTTTGTAGTTATTTGCATACTTGGATAAATTTCTCTCCCAGAACTAAACCCATTATTATCTTACAGATTTTTATAGATTAAAAAGTTCACATCCAAAATGCCTAAATTTTTGTTGAATTAATTTCACTTCGATCATCACGAACAAGGAGATCTCGGTGATAAAGGAATTATTGATATTTTTCGAGGCTCTAGGTTTAAGCACTATGAATATTAAGAGTTATGAGCTACATTCACTGTTAAATGGTTAAGAGTTATCTTCCAACAAATAAGGTCAAATTTTGAAGTTTACATTCATTATTGGAGCGACTCGATTCAATTTTATAATAATAAACACTTAATCCGAACCATTTGAATATATTTCAAACTAATCATTGATTTTCTTTAATAATATGAATGATTATAAGATCGTATATGTTTATAATCTTTCTTAGCCACTGATAATGCACACACATCCTGCATACAAAACTCTTCAAACCCAAGACTTGAAAACAACATTCTCTTTAATCACCGAAATCACTTGATCATTATAGATATAAAACAATACAGATATTGTCACTCTTTACAACCTTCAAACACCAATTAATTAAGCAGAGCAAACAGTTTATGTATCACTGCATTGTTTATGGTTGAGGATCAAATAAACATTTGTTTTATATTTCAATTGGAAATGAATCATTCCAATGCACCATTAAAAAATCTTCAATGATTTCAACATCAGAAAATTTACATGAAACTCTACTCCTACCACTTAATCTCAGTCTGGTTTACATCAATTAAAATGTTAGATAGAAAGTCTACCTTAATTTGTTTTTGCTCCATCATCAAACTATTCAGCAGATACCTGGATGCAACTCGGGAGAGATGCTCCATCTGCAACCGTCTTCCGAATTATTGTTGCGAAGCTCCGGATCATCCAGTTCCAAGGATTCCCATCAACTGAATATTGCAGATCCTCATGTGGCACTCTGCCTCATCATCCACAGCTGCAGGAGCATCAGGTCTTGAACTGATTATATCTTCTAACATAAATTTTTCATCAAATGTTAATGTTAGTGTGTATGGCTTCGATTTAACGTTCGAAGTTTGACATGCATCTATACTCTGCTTGTAACCAGCTAACGGATTTTTCCTTATGCAAGCACAACCTTGAGGAGTTTCACTTGGGACACTGTTTCTGAATTAACATAACATGGAGAGAGGGCACCATGTACTTCCTCGGAAGATTCGGTCCTAAGTACTAACACTGTTCTGCAATTCAGCCAATTGAGATTCATCAACTCTTTTGGCCACCATATTTGGACAGAGAGGAGGGGTTGTCCTACGGCAGACATAACATCTAAATCCGATAATCATGGTTTTGTTCTCTGAATTAAGCCAATAAGCATCTCCATGAAACCATTCTGCATCGATTAATTGAAAGGAACATTACGAAGCAATACAAACGATGAAATTTTCAAACATCAGCATGGAGTATTTATAGTAATAGGCAGTCGCCTACAATGAGAAATGATACGAGAAAAAAAAGGTGAAAGTTAATTACCTTCACAAATTTCACATGCAATATAGTTTGAATTAGATGCATTTTCTGATTCATGACAAAGAAGGCATCTGGGTGGATCAGGGGTGGCAGTCCTATGTTCAGGAACAAAAAAACATTTTTCTTTGAAATTGCATCACCCGTTCATCGTCCAGCTTACATGACAACCGAAGACCATTAAGCCAGTAAATACGGTAAGCCCTCGTTCTCTTCTTCTGCCAAGAAATTTCCTCCATCTTCTTAGGTGCTTTCTTCTTTGATTTCTTTTTGCCTTTCTTGCACCTACCTGGCTTTTTCTTTTGCAAAGAAATGTATTTTATTTTCCTAGGTGACCGGCGAAGCGGCACAGAAGCAGTAACCTTTTTTTCCTTCTGCGAATGCAGTGACATTCGTACTACCAGTGACTTTTCATTAGCCCTTTTACCTTTTTGTGACAGTTTCCTTACACTTTTTGTGCTCGTCTTCTGCCCCTTAATGTCACCCTTTCCTCTTTTCATGACATTACTGCCTTTTTTTGCATTGACATTCGACTTGCAATCTCGGCAGCGATGGCATGTATATGTGCACTCAGCAAGGATAGCTCCAGCAGATTTTCTAGCATGCCTCTTATGAAAAAATCCTGAAATTATACCAAACTAATCAGAAATGTGAAATTTATGTAAAGAAAAGCACGTATGATTGGAAGCTCATAAAAGCAATGACATTGAGCACGCAGAGCATTACTTCGTAAAACAAATCAAGCATTTATGAACAAGACAAATACACTTTAATATAGAAGAGCACCACTTACCCTTACAATACTGACAGCAGACAGCTTACCTGCAAAATTGATAAAAAGAAATCATAGTTAATTAAAAGAAACAGTTCAGAAATAACAACTCATTAAGCCATAAACTATGAAAATGGGCATTCTTGAACATCTGTTCAAACCAAAAACTAATCTCTAGTTCTGATCCCAAAAAAACAAAGTTCAGGGATTACTTATTAGTGCTTGAATAAGAATCGAGTACACTAAATAATCTTCCACCCCAGGTATAGCAAGTGCCAATATCTCGTAAAAGGATAAAATTTAAAAACCAGTAAAAAAATGTTAAAATGTCGATTTTGTTATTATGCTCTAGTGTCTACCAAAACATTTTTTTTAAGTTCTTTTTTTTCTATTTTCAGTCTTAGTTATTAGCAAATTTTGAAAATAAGGACTGCCATCATATTTGAGACAGGGAATCTTAGAAACAACAGTTCCAATACCATGAAACTAAAACTATTAGAAATGATAAAGATAATAGGATCAGTTTTTTTTTACCTGATGAGGACATCTTTGTTACAGTGCCCACATTGATAATACTCTGACCTTTCACCTTTCAGCTTTAGAGAAGAGATAGGGGAAACCCTTGTTCTTTGATGACTTCTTCGCCACCCTATCGATCTCAGAAGATTTTTCAGAAATCATCTTATTAGACATCCGGGCAATTTTTCTTTCTTCGAAACTTCTCACAAGATGCAAGGGAACATAAGATTCATTTAACCAATATTTCTTTCTTTCACTAGAAGATTCTTCAACAACAATTCCATATCTTTTGACAAT